TTTATTTAAAGGGTCTGAAAACATGCTGTATCAACAGTTTTAAAAGAAACATACTAAAAAGCCTGAATACAAGCAAAAGATGGCCATTCTAAATAGGTTCTTTTTTTAATTTTTCACCGGGTTTTTAAGGTATTTAAAAAATATAAATTTTCATACTATTGCATTACTTTATTAAAATGTATTTACATTTGTGACAGTTTTTATGGCTGGACTATTAACGTAAAGCATCATAAAAGATTTTAATACAACATTTGGTGTACTTAAATCTAGATAATCATAACGCCTGAGGGTGATAAAACTCGAAACTAAAATTAATTGGCATATTCAGTTTTTCATGTAAATAGAACTCGTGAAGTTCGAATCTGTTGATAGTGTTTAGTAACAAAATCCATACGACTCCTTGACAGTAATACAAAGGTAGACGACTTTTATAGAATAGATACTTATTCGGCGTAAAGCCCTTCATAACGACACATTGCAAAGGGAACTTTTGGGAATTTTTCTTAGTTACAAGCTGAAACAAAACTAAAAGTTATACAGACTGTACGATTCCATAACAGATTCATACAAGTAAATTCGTTTATAACAATAATTAAATGTTTGGGGCCTGGCACTGAACAAGTTTCAGAACATCTGCCTTTCATTTGTTTTAATTTCGTAATGCTGAGTCGTTATTTTTTTACTATATAAATCTTATAGACTGATTTTTTTATTTTGTTTAATGATGCAAATAGTTGGTGAGTCTAAATATTATTAAATTGATTAGGATTAAAATAACCCGAAAGAAAATACATTTTATTAATTCAATAATTTACTTACGTATAAGAAATTTGCTTGTGTAGATTGGTATGTAGGTAGGGTCACATTAACAGATTTTCTAAAGAACTGTCGCTGAATCGAATCTAGCGTGCACCAACCAAACTTATAAATAAAACTCAATTTATCTAAAAGGAAAAAAGAATACGACCAGATTAAAATAATGAAACTGAATATATTTGGTAGAAACATCCCAAGCAACTAACGTAGAGTACGATTCGAAAAATTATCATCACATTCTTTCTTTTATTGACATTCATGATGGATTTTTATATTGAAAGTGTCCCATAAGAAGATTCGTCCCTTTCGCTTCATGGGTTATATCGAATTTTAAAGTTAAGGATGAACCAAAACTAATTTTGTAAATAAAATAATCAATTTGCATAAGCAACGCGAAGTTAGTAAAGTACCACTTTTAAAACTACACATACAGCTTACCTCTTGGCAATAGTTCATCCGGTACTTTCTTTTCTTGAGTATCACCGGCACCAACACTACGAAGTGAGTAACTGGCTTGGTTAGCTGGTATGGCTTTCCATCCCACCACAATAGCTAAAAAAACAGTCTCAATTTTATTTTTATGGTCGTCATTGAAAGAGAGATCATTAAATAATAGTCTACATACTTAGAAATGTTGTGAGTATGACTATTCTGAAACTGTTCTGCATTGTACTCTGTCAAAGCTACTGTCTAAGAATAATATCTTCGAATGTGATTTGACGTTATATAATATTTACCAAAATTCGATGTTTACGAATCATACGGGCATAGTTTTCGATGTTATAATGTTTATATCCTGTATGAATGAAGAATTTAAAACAGCGTTGTGTGTTTTGTATTTGGAGCGACATTAGCAGAATATATTGTTAAAGATAAGAAAACGCTCGTTCGAAAAACACTAGTTGCCCTTTTTTTCTTTAAATATATCAAATTATTTAAAGCATCATACTTTTAACTTACACAATTTGGGTCTTATTTACAAATAACAAAATATTTTTCATAACAGATTATAAATAATCCAATTACCTATATCATAATATTTGTCATATTATGTCTATAATTTATTTATTTTCGCTATATTAAATACAGCTTATTTGAAAAAGTAACAAAAGATTATTAAATTTCAAACAAATTCAATCTTCTGTATAAAGTAATGTTTTGTAATTTTTTATAATACTAGAAGACCCGGCGAACTTCGTATCGCTCTATAATCAAGAAATATCTGTTACTTTTTTCATTTATATTTTGGAGTTTACCTTTAAGCCGTTGTATCTCCGTGTTTTGAAGTGCGATAGAATGATTGACATATTATGTAGTTAGTTGTCAAATCTAATGTCAAAAAAAACGTTTGTATCAACAACTACTAATAAATTAAAAATTAATTAAAAAACATTGTCCAGCGGACAAAATTGTGAATCTAAACCATTCCCAGATCCCATTGAACACACACAAAAACTTTTATCAAATTCGGTCCAGTCGTTTGAGAGAAGTTCAGTGACATACACACTCACAGAAGAATTATATATATATAAAGATAGAAAGCATTTAAAAGACAGCACCTTATTGATTGAAGTGACGCCTGGAATTGAATTTATTATAACAATTTCTAGTTTGTTTTTATAACAAACTTTATCCACAACAATATTATATAACTCGAAACATAAATACTGAGTATTAATTCATTGTTGTGAAACAAATGGCATATAACTTTCATAAACAAACAATGAGATTTATAAATAAATTCGTATGACAAAATATCGTGTATAAATGCAAAGAGCACGAATGTAATTTTATTTTAAATTACAAGCGCAGTAGGTCATTACGTGCATATTCTAAAACAAACCAAATAACATTACTATGAAGTGTGTTACAGTTATAGTGAATCTTCATTTTCGTAATATATATCCTATATTATTATTTTTAAAATACAATATATTATTTTAATATTATTTAATATAAAAATTCAGTTTTAGAAATATCCTGTTGGAAATACTTCACGTCTTTGAGTGACTTAAGGTTAACCGGGTCAGATAAAGATTTCGGTAATAATATTGACAGATTTTATAAATGTGAATTCTCAATTTACATTAAAAGACTACGGTCTTCCATCGTTTAGCTCATATAAGATCAATTAAGTTTATTTTCAAGACAAAGGAAAGCCCAGACAAGAACACATATTATCCATCCATATATTTCTATTAATTAATCACTTTTTATTAGATGTAATGCACAGTGAGTATACATTTGGATCCTGTACCGCAGAGAAAGTAATATTTTACGTCCACGTTCACAAGGATCATATGGATGTCTTAGGAAAAATTATTATTAGGGTAAATTTTGTATTATATATGTAAAAATATTATTAATTAATGTTTTTTATTAACATACACATATCAACAGGAATGGCTGAATATACCGAGAATACCAACGTGTATAGTATTGAGAGCTACCTCTTTCGAGATTGACTTGTTTCGGAGTACGGCGTACGCTTTTCAAATGTGCGTCCCAAGAATTACTTATTGTCATTCACGAAAACGCTTCAAATACTTCTATTACGAATGGTACATCCCGAAAGAAATGATTGGTGGTATGAATTGGGATATTTATTTCTATGGACCAGAGGGTCTGACGTATCAATAAATGTGACAACTACAAGAATTTGTTATGATGCAAGTGTTACATATGCATATTCACATTTTAATAAAGAATAAACTTTATTAACTCCCTATAAAGTTATTTATTGAACTGATAACAGTTCATACGTATAAAAATTCTAATATCCATACATTAGGAAGTTGTGATAGTCATAGGTACATAGATTTACCAAAGACATGTTGATTGTTTTTCTTATGGGCTTCTATCACATACAAATCAAATCTGTAACGAATGTATTGAATTAGTAACAGATTTGTCACGGCTCCCAACTTTATAACCCAGCAGTAAGCTGAGAACAGTTAACAATTATTGCCGTATTATAACATTACAAAGCCACAATGGCTGAGGGAACGCTTTTGTTTTAAATCGCATATCGCTAGAGACAACAAGCTTTAAACTTTATTATAATGAACTAATGTCCATTTTTGTTTTGCATCCCAAATAAGACCCTTCTTATTGATACAATTTTCATGATACTCCTGTACACTTATAAATAATTGTGCACTAGTTGTGCCCGAGCTTTGTATTTCTGCAATCGAAATTTATGTCTGCCTATTAAAGTTGAATATATTTATACATTATACATGTATATTCTAAAGAATAAAAAGTCGGGTTATTAAGAATTATATTTTTTTTCTATTTCTCACCAAATCCAACATACTTCGTCTTTTAATCAGGTATAAAAATAATATCATAAATTTGAAGCCCTAAACTAATTTGACCACTGTAAGCAAGTATTCTCAATTTTTCTATAAAATTTGTACTATTTTTATAACTGTATTACATGATAAACGTTGATAGGTGAAATAAATCGACTCTATCTACAGTAAAGAATTCGAGTACCCTACGCCCTAATGGCTAAAAATAATCACGGATATCGTTCTAAACATAGTATGTATAATGAACAAAATGGCTTGAAGTAAAGAATTTTAATCGTCGTGTGGACCACCCTACAATTGGTAGTCAGTATTATCTATGCTAATTCAGAGGGCTGCAAGCTGAACTCATTACTACTATTTTAAATGCAATCTATGCACTGTATCTGTTTTTTTTTCGGTATTTGTTGTTGGAACGTTGTCATAGTAACTGCTATCTTTTATAGTCAACCTGAAAAATGGTTATGTCCTCGTAAAAATAATAGGCTACCTGAATGATTTACATTTCGGCTGCAAGAAAAAACCTATTTGAATAACGTTAGGTCTTCTTAGGGTAATGATATTTTTTTGAAAACGAGTACATAAACAGGGTTTAAAATTTACTTGTTTTTCCATGATTGTGCAATTTTATCTATACTGAAACTTTTGGATATTATTATTATTATATACATTTAGTAAAAAAGCCTTTTAAACTCTGATATCCAAACCAAGTTATACTTATACGATACTATAAATTAACAGCAGTAACTTTGTACTTTTATTTAATGGTCAGTTTGCAGAACTGTTGCGTGTATCTTCCAATGGATTTCACAAAAACTCTGATTACAGACAAGTGACATGCAGAAGTTAAAGTGACCTTAATTTTTGTTGCAGACCCCTATCAAATGTTTGGACCCACTAGCAGCCGTCTTGCGAATTCAGGTAAGAAAATTACATGCGAATTATAGTGAAATATAAAAACTAACATTTATTGAATGGAAATATAAGTCATGACGTAAACTTCAGAATGAGTCATAAATTCAAGTTGTTCAATGTTCTGTGTGAAGTCTATACTATCATTTATAAAACAATATACATATATATATATATATATATATATATATATATATATAATTATTATTAAGAACAAAAAATTTAAACCATCGATTCTGAGTCGTCTAATTATGACAAAATTAAAATATAGCAGAAACAGTAACATTTTAACAAATTTTATATAGATCATATTTCATAATAAAATATGTTATTCTACTTATTCTATATTAAGTTATTATTATTTAGATATGAACCTTTTTGATTTTGTATCAATATATAAACTACAAAAATAATTTTCCCACCCTGAACGTTATTATCAGCTATTATTAAACTTGATTTACACGCTAGATGGCGTTGATAAGGTCTCATGTGAATGTGGCCTGTAGTGTCACCGTTCTATACACTTATATCAACATTATCTGCATGCATCGACCCCATTGTCAGAAAGTCAAATACATAATGGGGTAACAACGCCATACTAATTAGGCACTCGTGCTTACTTACTTATGGTGGCTTTAGGGGTCATTCGAATTGGATCTATGATCAGGGTTAAATTCGTAATAAATACTTCGATAAAAAGGAATATATAGATTCCCTATTTTATTATTATTTTTTATACTCTTTATATTTCTAACTTACAACATTTATTGGCTTATTTAGTAAATAATACAAATTCCTACGATCGTGGTTAAACTTTAATTTTAATAAAAGTTTACTGATAATTCGTCGTATATACAAGTGAATGAATAGTAATAAATATTTTTTGTTATTTGAATGAAAAGAAATGATTATTTTCCTTTAGCTGGTGAGTATATAATTACAGCACATTATGCGTCGAGGCGTGCTATTCACGAGACAGGCCGGCACGTGGCAGTCGTGATTATAGCACGTTCACACGATTGACTCACCTGTATTAAAATTATAAAGCAATTATTAAATAAAAAAACACTATAATAACACATAAGAAAAGCATTCATATAAACGCCAAATAATCTAGCGGAACGTAGATTAATTGGAAGTCGTAAAACCGATGACGCGTATCAGACAATGCTTCAAGCATCCCGACCGAGGCGAGAGTACAGTAGAAACATTTTGACTTAAACATAATCGATATTCGTATAAATCACAGGGATTCCACGCTCGTGTGAAGCGGCCGTTGTGGTAACGTCACCACAAAAATCAGCAGTATTATAAATGGATACTAAATACGGCCAATCCGACCGAATCACTAAACAATCACGAAACAATCAAATAGACTATTATAATATGTATTATTAAATTTATTTTGTTTTGAATTTTTTATATATACATATGTATATAAATTAGTAAGTGGTTCGTGTTTTGCAAACGGTAGTATTCCGCTCGAATGCATTCGGCTCAAGTCGTGCGTGTTCGTAACGCAGCCGCCCAATATCGCAACATGTTCGCGGGATCCTGGCCATTATGCCTTCATGGGACATCGAATATCTATTCTCAAGCTATGATAACCTTACACGGGATATAAACAACCTATATATATCTATAAAATGATGATTATTTTTGCAACAAAAAGAGATTTGGTATTTAATACCAAATTATTTTTTTCGTTTCTATAATTATTTTAAGCTTAATTGCTAACTATAATGAGGAATCATGTCTCTTTTTGTTTATTCATTAAGTTGAGTACTATCATAGATAGACCATTTTATAATATTACGAAACAGAAAAATGTACCTAATTTAAGTTCTTGCAAAGTCGTGATAAGTTTTTCCTTATAGAATATTGAGAGAAATAGAAATGTTTTCAGACAAAGCAAGACATATTTAGAATCTTAACTTATCAGTGAAAACTAAATGTAATCGTCAATAAATCAGCCATCCCTAAATTTTATACATCATAGCCTCGGGCGCGGTAACTGCGCTTTATGACCCTCTAATGACAGGCTTACAGTATTTGATAATAAAATCTTTAAAATGGCATGAGCCATTAACTAAGCATATTGTACTTAAAATTATGTTCATATTTTTATAGCAAATGGTATAAATAAGTGAATGAAAAGTAGGTAAAATGAAATAGGAGTGTAATTTGTTTTAGACAAGCCAGAATGTGAGAGAGAAAATCAGACAGAAAGTGATCATGATATGCCGATGGCTCCTATGTATAATTTCAATGTATCTTTTACAAGCGACAACTGATGCTTTTGAAACTTTGCATACCAACTATGACATATACGTCATTATAGATGGATAAACTTTTTTGTAAATCTAGTATTTTTTTTAATAATGTATATAAGCCCTTATACGTTAAAAAGTGATTTAATTATGAATTTTTACTGCAATAAAAACTAAGTCTTTCCACCAACAAATATGCATTTTTTAAAATAGATGGTGTAGAATATTAAATCATTAAATTGTTACATTGCTACATACATAAGATCGATGCATATCATTATCACTTTCTGGTAATAGTAGTATTATTAGTATATAATTTTTTTAATATTAGTATATAATATAACTCAAATTTTATAATTTCTTCTAGGATCTGGGCAGATTCAGTTGTGGCAGTTTCTTCTGGAACTGCTCAGTGACTCGAGCAATGCTGGCTGCATCACCTGGGAGGGAACCAATGGAGAATTCAAACTCACGGACCCAGACGAAGTCGCCCGTCGTTGGGGCGAACGGAAATCCAAGCCAAACATGAACTACGATAAGCTTAGTAGGGCTCTGAGGTAAAAATGTCGTGTTTTAAAAGCAATAGGCATTGCGATATCGGGTACCCATTTACGCTCAGCGGTGTTTGCGACTTTTATACATTGTTTTAACTGATTTATGAATGTAATTATCATGTTTTGTTTAGATTTTAATAAAATCCTATTTGTCCAGATACTACTATGACAAGAATATAATGACAAAGGTGCATGGTAAACGATATGCCTACAAGTTCGATTTCCAAGGACTGGCTGCGGCCACTCAGCCAGCTGCTAGCGACCCAGCTTATAAGTACCAGAGCGATCTCTTCATGAGCTCGTACCATCACTCCGCTAAGCTGTCGTCGTTCATGGCCCCCCACGCTGCTATGCCGACATCCACAGGTAGGATGTGAATAATACGTATTGTTCTAAACAATAGCAAAGTCCTGCGAATGTATACATAAAGATTGCCTTAAAAGTTATAATCTGATTGTATGTATATTTGAAATAATAGCGTAATTATGGACTAGCTTCCAACTTAAATACTTTAAGCATCAAATAAACCTGTTAAAGGGCGTCTGCAGTTGGGTTTAGATAATATCATGCACCCTTCAAACGCAGTTCCAAATGTAATCTGCATTCAATGCTAATGTACGGTACACTTGCTGGCCAAATATTGACACGCCGCTTGAAACGGGATGTCACTGCCATGGGTCTTCGTCTTGACTTAATGGAATAAACATTTCATTTCGTTTACGATTTATACAGAACTAACTTAAATAACTCTTTATGCAGTTCTAATGTATGTAACTGCATAAGTATTAACATGTTTCAGCTTTGTTAATGTAAATTTTAATATGAATAAATAGATTTTTTCCCTAACATCTAAAAGGTTTTTTCTTTCGTAAGCCGTTCCTATAAATCGTAACATAATAGACATCTTTATAACTTTTATGGCAAACATGCGATGCGATATTGCGAATTGACATAGCGAATTGAATTTCAATTGGTTTAACACGCATTAACTTTATTGTTATATGAAATTATTTATCGTGATACATGTTCATTTTATATTAACTTAGGTTAGCAAACCACTTTGTTACAGCGTCAATATTCCCGTCAGCGTCATGGAGTAATTGGGGTGGTGGTGGCGGCAATCTTTACTCACCACATTCGATGGCACCGCCCCACGTCACCTCACACCTAGGCTCCTATCCTCACTACGCATGACCGACCTATTGACACACCACGACAACACATTATGTCCACATAACATCACCATTTCGGATCATGTAACTTATCCTTTATATATTTATTTGAATTTTATCATAACAGCTAATCATTAATTCCGTAATCACAAATGAAAATCTTACAATGATTACTCCAATCACCACATTGTGAACAGTTACCTATTAGTCATATATTTTATTTATTTTAATTTAAGGAATCACGTTTAAATCATCACTATTATCTCATGTTAGTATTCGATGAAAAAATAATTTATATTTAGTTAGATATTATTTATTTAATTTATTTATTATAATGTAATTTCTCGCTTCTGAGACGCGTGCAAGTCGCCCTAGTCTTTTATCAAACGTTGTAAATAATAGATACTCATTAATTAAGTAGAATTATATTATTTATTTAGGATATGAAATATTGAATTTTTATTCATCGTGTAACCTTTTTAATATGAAGAAATGTTAGAATCATCTTTTGATATAATGTAAAACAATTTTACTATTAAAATACTAGATGCTACAAAATGCAAAGTATATCATAAATATTACTCAATCATTTAATCATAAACGATACCAAAAATTACATAATGAAATCGGGTTTGTCAAAACAAAAAAATCTTTAATAAACAGACAGATTTTGTTTCTCTTCTAGATTAAACAAAACTTGTTCAAAACCATCTTTAAGCTGTCATAAAAAAACCGTGATAGTTTCAGTATTAACCTGTATAAAATAAGTTTAGTGTAAACCAAAAAAAAAAATTAAATGAAGAAAAAGTTAAAAAACATTAAAATTTAAATGTATTTTCCTTATAGAGAGTAGAAATAAAATGTGCCATTCCAATTTTATCCAGAAAAACGTAAGACATTTTAGATCTTTTGTAATTTATAAAATTAATAAATGCTAATTGACTATCAATATTTTAAAATTATTTTCGTTTGTAGAATCTTAATGCTAAAACTATTATTTTTACACTCTTAAATTGACTTGTAGTATTTTAAATATAAAAATATGTACCGATTGATGATTACAAAGAGGTGTCATACCGGCGTTTTTATTAAACATAATAGAAATTTGAAAATATCTAGACCAAACCAGCTTACTAGTTCGTCGCAAACGATGATCATATGTCTAAAATTTTAGCGAATTCTTTCATTCTTAGCATTACCCTTAGAACTAGTCTTCATTGTCTACAACACAGACAGTATCAACGACATATTAGTAAGTAATCAGTACATAAGCATTCGTAACGAAGTCTTTTTATGAAGAAAAACTGTTGAAACCGTAGTTAATAAGTTTACGACGCAAACTATGATGTTATAAAACATAACTCGTAGACAATCCTAAGATACCTACCATCTTCGCTGAAATGTAAATAAAGTAGTTACTATTAAAAGTGCAATCGTACTATATACACATTAAATTGTAGGAAATATATTAATCAATCGAACGTTACTTCTCTTGTATATTTTAAATTATTTTATTTTATTTTTTGTTTTTTTATTATTATTATTCTTATAAATTTAAAACATGTCATCCCTATGTACTTTTATTTGTACGAAATATTTCATAAATTATATATTTTCGAATTTTTTTAAGTTTTTACATTTTAAGATATTATTTTAATTAGTTTTATATAATTTTATTTATATCGGTGTCTTATTTCAGCTCGAAGAAGCTGGTCGATAGTGGAATATTTTAATCTTTTTAAATTAATATATCTATGTATAATAAAAAAAACAGTTACCATTTATAATTTAATAAATAAATAATTCAGTCAATATCATAATGTTATATATACCTATATATATATAATTTATTTAATTCAATTAATTTATTGTGATCTTAATTTATAATTATTTATTGCATGTGTCGAAATATTAAAACCATTAGACGTAGAGTACAATTGTATAGATGTTATTGTATTTGAAAATGAATAAAACATGTGAAATGTCCTTATGCCTATTATTTCACCCTTTACCCGACCGTTTATTGTTAAAAAAAATCATTATTATTCAAAGACTTAGACATGAATGTGTTTTTAAATTACTCAACAATGGTTGGTACTCGTGATATATAAAAGGAACCTACAAAAAGAACATTTTTAACAATTTAAATAATAGTTTTGTTATCAGAATTTTGTTATACATACTAAAATTAACACGTACAAATACTTATATAGTATATATTATGTCTAGTATTTGATAGTAATGTTTTTTGCCGCCTCTATATACATTTTATATATGTAGATAAAGGGTAAACTCAGTCAACTTCTTTGCGTTTTAAATAATAAAAAATACATGTTCCAAAGTATGAAAGTTAAATAAAGTTTTTTATAATAAAATTATGAAGAATTTAAAGCAAACACTTAAAAAACTGCTATTTAGTTTTAGATGGATGATAAATTCGAAGTTATTATCAATATGCTTACAACAGGTTTGCACGTCACACTACAGACGGGGCGTTAACAGATTTTCTTTTCTAAATCTTCTTATATAGTATTCATTGAAGAAAAAACGGAAAATGCTTCGCATGTAGTAGGTATATCGGCGCGAACTTGTGGTAAGCGTAATGAGAATTAATGTTTAATTTATAATTAGATGAAATTATACTTGATTCTGATATACGTAAAATTGGGTCATATTATCTATTGTATACCTACTTCGAAATAGTTGAATATCGTTAAATAATAGGATCAAAGATATAAGCGGAGTTATCGCGACTAAACTTATATGAAAATAACCTACATTATAGCGACTTAAAACTACAAACATTTGTGTTCAAAGTACTGAACTAACTTAGTGAGTCTTTCCTATTCATAGACCTCACAGAAGAAACCTACAATGCACACATAAGATTTCATCAACGGCCGTTTAGAAAATATATATTTTTACAGCCAACATATAAATCCACCATCGCTTATATGCGTTGTGAGTTTTGAGACATTTCATTGATAGATTATTATGTATTATTAAGTAGAGAGCAGAGTATTCCTTAGCACATAACCGTTTGTTATATAAATGTGAGTAGATTACAACTAGTGTGACTTTTCCAAAAAATCATATTTAAACAACATACGCTTCTTTTAATTTAAATAACTCCGAACCTATGCCTTGAAGATACGCTCCACCTAGGAGGGATCAGGGTCTGATCACGATATTTAGTTCAGTGCATTCCTTTAACTATAAGCAGAAGAGAAAGACACATTAAAAGTTAAAATCCATTCATAGAAATGGCAACACGTATAGATATAATGAGTGCTATAATACAGCACGAATAAAAAAATGGGAGAGTAGGAGAAATATATAAAGATTGGACATAGCTTGCAGTGTTAATAAATAATTAATTCGACAAAGCATTTCTTCGTGTTCCATAGTTTAGTGAGGTGTATGACATGATCAAAATCTCAAAACAATAGTTTATATACAGTGAATCTTCTTCTGAAAGGACACAGAGCCTTCTACTGCTTGATTTAAATTCAAAAGGTCAAAGGAATAAGTTATTTCAATACGTATCCAAAATAATAAAAAGTATGCATTATCCTAGTTAACAAAAATGTATATCTCTTTCCTTTATATATGAATCCCTTTTTCCCTTGGTCACGGCATCACGCGTAAATGGCTGGACCGATTTCACTAATTCTTTTTTTGTTTTATTTGTTATTATTATGAGAAGGTTCTTATGTAAAAAAAAACTACGAAAATTATTAGAAAATGTGATACTCGCGGTAATATTTACGTAGTTAAATAAAGCATTACAATAATAAACAATTTGTTTTGGAGTAATTTTGTATTTGTTAATATACTGATGAGAATTCAATAATCACAGTTAAGAAGACAGAACATTGTCTGTCGGGTTAGCTATACTTAATAAAGAAAGTAATTTCATGCAGATAAAAAGGTAACAGATATTTCTTGATTAGGTATAGGGCGATACGAAGTTCGCCGGGTCAGCTAGTACAAATATAATTATCTTTATCCATATGTTGCAAGTACAATCTTCAATAAACTAATATAGTAATTCCTCAGACTATTTTTGATGGTCTGTAAAATGTTTTAATATTTAACACAAATCATTCATAAGAGAAAGTAATAGAAGATTCCATTCGAATTTTAACATATACATTCGATGACATATTTTTTGTTAACCAACAATTATAGCCATCAAATAAATGTGAAAAATATTTAGAAATCCTTCCTTTTCTCGAACTTAATAAGAATATAATATAATACAAGATAATTGCTTTTTTATTACATTTCAGCGGTTGTGCTATTAATGATTGAGAATAAATAAAGTAATATTAGGTAAGTAATAGTAATAAAAGTATAAAGGGGCGGCAAAATACATTACTATTAAATACTAGAGAAGTTTATGTGTTCTTGTTATCTATACAAGAACATGTTATATATTTTATACAACTATCTAGTTTAAAATCGTGGTACCTATTTTAAAAGCTATGAGGCCAATACATCCACAGATAATTTAGTCTCAATCAAATGCGATGATGTGTAATGTTATGTAAAATTAATCATATACCATATGTTACGCAACTACTAATTAATAATATATACATAAAGAAATAAATAAAAAGGCAAGGATTTCAAGAAGTTTATATTTTATCATTATTATTTTAAGGAATTCTTACTTCAAATTAATGTTAGGTATTTATGAAAAACCCTGTTCATCCCCCTATTTTAGTGTACACTGCACATCATCTTCAGCCATGTGAGGTACAATGGACATATGATTTTATAATTAACTTACTATATATAATACTACGACTCGCAATTTTATTAATGCCTTTTTAAATACTTCACACTCCACTATTCTAATCACTAGGTATATATTTGTTATTTTATTAAAGTTATCTAATTGGCACCACTACTCATCTCATATCCCTATATTAATACCAATATTTAAAGGATTTATTAAAAATAAAATATATTTCATTCATGTTAAACATTAAACTCAGTAGTGTCCGAAAACCGTTA